TAATATATATAATTATAATATATATATTATGTGACAATAAATATACATATAATTTATATGGAAAAGAAATGTTTTTAATGCATGAAAAATAAAACTAGTCGGACAAGGAAAATTATTGATCAGATGTCGAGGTTAATAGATCCAATTCTATGAATAAACAGATGTCGCATTTGCGAAATGAATTGGTGCAATATATTATTTTATTAACAACTGCGTGCAGTGGAACACATATTACTATTAAAGCGTCTATCGAATATACGCGAGCGCGATAGTAAATATATTTATATATATAATAAAATAATTAAAAGGATTATAACTTATAAAGCGAGCGAAAAAATGCGTCGGGATAAGGTCAGTTGCCCGAAGTGCTGATACAGCCAGTATCACACGGCCAAGTCATCAAATAGAGAAAGAAATCACTCTCGAAATAGCGCTGAATTGCAATAAAATGCGAGGAAGGAAGTCTTTGGACTTCCTTCGCTTGCATTTTGATCACGCCACTTTAAAAATAACTGATGATTTTATTCCACCGCGTCATATATATGATCTATTTTTCATGAAACTCGGAAAACATAACAAATTATTAATACGCATTAAATAATAAAATATTTTTGTTGCTAATAAGTATTTTTTTGCTAATATTTATAAAACAAATATACATAATGTTAATAATTTTTTTAGATAATGTTTAATCCAAGAAATGTAGCAGTACTGCTATACACTGCACTGTATATGACTGGGGAATTCCCAGAAAGTCCTGTTACAACAGATGAAAATGAAACAAAAGACATGATGGAAAATACACTTCGATCAATGTATGAAGAAGCGTTTGAAGTTTATGAAGAATCATCATTAGATTTTCAAAACGAATTTGATATACCTGAAGTAGAACCTGTAATTGATGAAGAAAGAGAAGGTGACACATATTTTGTAAAAGAAATTGAATGTGTTGCGGATTCTGTACCAATAGAATATAAAAGAAATGCAGTAGAGTTTTGGAGAAGTGGAACAAAAAAGTCAAGAACTCTTGCAACTATAAGAAATAGATTTCGGAAAGTCACGTCATTACGTCAATTAAGAAGATGGGAGCAGCAAGTAAATCAAGGTGGCAGCAGATTTGATAAACTGAAAGAAATTTCAACATATACGTTAAATAAATTCCCCATGAAGGTATTGAAAAGGGAATAATTATTCATGACATTGATATTGCTCGATGGGCTATTCGCGCACAGAAGGAAGTAAATCTACTTGGGTTTACAGCATCATTATCATGGGTAAAAAGGTTTAAGCTTGCACATAATATCGTATCTAGAAAAATTACAAAATTTATAACAAAAAAACATTTAGCGTCAGACAAAGATTTAGAAGCACGAAGCAAGTCATTTATCGAAAATGTTAAATCTTTTATTATACAATATGGAATTGAAAATGTATATATTTCGGACCAAAGTGGATTTCAATTAGAATTTCATTCCGGTCGTTCACTATCACCTATTGGTATTAAAAAAGTAGAGCGCATAGTACAATCCATATCAGCAACTACACATAGTTATACTATACAACCTATTGTTTCAGCTGATGGTAGATTATTATCGCCTCTGTTTATATTGTTTTAAAAGAACCTACTGGAACATTTGGTCCAATAGTAAAAGAAACAATGTTTAAAGATAATAATATCTTTGTCATGGCATCAAAATCTGGAAAATTAACATCGCATCATTTTGAGATCTGGATAAAAGAAGTGTTTTTTCCAAATGTTGGACCAAAATCAGTGTTATTATTAGATTCTTGGACTGGTCATTGTCCTGATATAATTCAAAGAAACAAACCAGATTTTATAGACAATATTAATTTGTTAACTATACCAGCTGGAGCAACGGGAAAAATACAACCTTTAGATGTATTCGGTTTTCGTTTATGGAAAAATTTTGTTAGACATTTTTCAGATACCATCATGCTTTTAGATCTTGACGTCAAGCTTCATTCAAGAAACAATATTTTAAAATTACAATCATTAACACATAATCAATTTTCATCACCAAGGTTTAAAAATTTATTCAAATATGCATGGTATAAAAGTGGTTATTTAGAAAAGAAACCAGAAGAATTTGATACACCAGTAGATTTTTGTTTCAAAACTAATTTAAAACCAACATGTGATATTTGCGGTGAAATTGCTGTAATTTCTTGCGCATGGTGTAAAAAATCCCTTTGTATAAATCATTTCTTTCATGATCATCATCTTTGTAACCGATATCAACCATGAATATTTTTTATTCTTGTATGCAATAATTATGTACGGTATTTTATGTAATATTTCCATATACCATACATATATATAATGACTTAATAATGTAAGACAATGTGTATTACATTTACTTTATACTTTAAGAAATTAAATATTATAAAACAGAATATTTTGATTAGTAAAATACTCTATTTTTTTCAAGTATGTAATGTATGTTGTATATGAGCAAGGATGTTATCTGCAAAAATGTATAAATTAAAATATAGTAACATATAAATATGTTTTATTTATAAAACTTTTAACAAAAAAATGTATATTTGCATAAAAACGTTCTTTATCATTTAAAATTTGTTTACTTTATTATAAAAAACGACTATTTTTCTTAAAATTCAAGTTTATTCATAGAATTGGATCTATTAACCTCGACATCTGATCAATAATTTTCCTTGTCCGACTAGTTTTATTTTTCATGCATTAAAAACATTTCTTTTCCATATAAATTATATGTATATTTATTGTCACATAATATATATATTATAATTATATATATTATATAATTATAAATTATATTTATAAATATAATTTCTATAATTTATAAAAATATATTCTCATAAATTATTTAATGCTAATTTATGGTTGCCTCTGTGAGTTTGCGAAGAAAAATAACTGTCGCTGTGAATAACGAGCGTCATGAGGCGGATAAAGCGGGCGTATAGTAGTGTATAGGGATATTTTTAATTTATTTCTGAAAAATGCGACTTCGGAATACAACTTTATTATATATGATTGAATTTGTCGTTAAATGAGCTATAAGTTTTGTTATAAGACAAATTTAAAAATTTTCAAACATTGAAAGGGAGGGGGGAGATTTCGAAAAATATGACATTTTCGACAAATCTGATTACATGATTTTGAAGTACATTAAAAACCATAAAACTTTTATTTGAAACTTTTCTTTATATCTCTTATCGCTTCGACGGTATTTGCTGAGAAATGAAAAAATCGATTTTTTTCAAGAAGGTGTTTCACCCCCTTAACGGCCAAATTAGCACTTATAAAAAAATACGTGTCTTCTATTTTGATCTAGACTACAACATATTCAAAGCTCATTAAAATCGGAGGGGGACACTTCCGACCCTTTCCTTGTAAGTATTTTTGAACGGTTTGAAATGTCAAAGAGAGTTCGGAGAAGAAAACATACAATGTTTGTTTATAGAACATTTATTAACACATAAATTGCTCGAAATTTTGACCATAATGTTCAATACAATATTCAACGCGTTTTATAATATTCCTCATTGTTGACTGCAGCATTTCTGCTGTAATGCCTTTAACAGCTCTAGTGATTTTGTGTCGTAACTCTTCTTCATTTTCAGGAAAAATATTATTAATGCATAAAAAATCAATAATTAAATAAAAATCAAAATACAAAATACTTGCGTAATTCTCACGTCTGTATATTCCAACACACTGCAGAACTTTTTTTTTCATCGACCGCAGAACTTTTAGGCTACGATTAATTCTTTGACATCTGTCATCAATTAACCCCACTTAACTGTCACCAAACTTTCAGTGATTACTTTCACAGTTCTCTCTCTCACGACATCATCGACCACCAATCACGTATGCGGAAAAGGGTCAACAATACAAGCGATACATATCGACTCGAAACGCAAACTTCTCAAATATATATGACATTTTTCATTAGGGACTCTGAAATATTTAGTAAAACATCATTTTCTGATGACCTTACTTCAATAATTTTATTGACAATATAATGAGAGGAACAAGGTGCTATAAAAAGGGTAACACATTTAATCGTTTTGAAGATAATAGAGCTATTATTATTATATATATATATATATATATATATATATATATATATACTCATTAGATTTATAAATAGACATATATCAATTTAATGATATGTAATGAATTGCAAAATTGCTTCTTACGTTTGCGTATACATTTCTACATATACAGGGTGTTTTGAATTGGCGGAAAAGTTTTTAATGGCAGATTTCTGGTATCAGTCGAAAACGATTTTTCCTCAGCGAAAATGTTGAGACATCAATAATTTTCGAATTGTAAGCAGTTGAAAATGAAGGCTTTTTTGGAAACTAAGCCTTGTGGAAATAAAATGCTAACAGAACTACATCTTTCAGTTAATTTTAAGTAGAGTTTACTTTAATAGATTTTAATATGAAGCTTAGTTATAAAAATATATAATAGCGAAAATTAGCAACATGCTATAAATGATGGTCTTTTTTAACATTTTCTCTAACGAAAAATCGTCTCCAAATGACCAGAAATCTAACATTAAAAACTTTTCCGCCAGTTTTGAAACACCCTATATATACATAACTTGTATACACAAGATGTACAACAAATACTGAAATCCCTTAATTTGACCAAAACCACGCTACTAGTTTAAAAAAAATGTTTTATACGAATGTTGAAAGACATTGCGTTGACGTTGAAAGACTATGTATGCGTGCGTGCATACGTGCGTGCGAGCGTGCATGCGTGCCTGCGAGTAGATTTTTCATATATTATATAAAGACATAATATGTATATAATTCACTATATATACATGTATCAAAAATCTATATATTGCTAAAATTATAATAATATAATACAAAAGGAGTGGAGAACTATATAGGGACCGATATTTTTGAATACTTAAAAACACTGAATTTAAATTATTTATTAATTAATTTATCATTTATTTATTTATTTATTTATCATTAATTTATTTATTTATTTAACATCTACATCATTAAAATGTATCTATTTTCATATCGTTGTTACATTGCTTTGATATTTTCCTTTTATGACCTTCAAAACTCTTTCGTACAAAAGTTTTGGCGCATTATTAGCAAATACAAAATCCACGTGATTAAAATTGGGCCACGGCACTTCGTACATATCTATTACGTTGGGAAGTAAATTGTAAACCCTCTTCACATCCTTGAAGAAACATTTTTTGAATTATCATACACAATAATTTTATTTAAGAGCTATATATTTCGATTATAAAAATACGAAATTTAATCTACATATATGTATACAAAGTCAAGTCACAATCTTTACTATAAAATCTTATAATTTCTACAATTTTTTTTATCAATAAATAAATACTCTTTTCATTACTTACAATAGGATCTAGCATCAAGTCATTGTTGCCATAGTATATCGCCATTGGTAGCGTGATACTCGATAGATTGTACTCTGGAGGTTCCATCGATTTATATATCAAGAGATTTTTTGTAGCACCGTAGTCATATTGACGAAATTTACCCGATTGAATTACTTGAACGAAGTGCACCACCGTCGTAAGCGAAACGGCAATGGGTACGTGACTCGCGATAAAGGGCAGCTGAGTCTAAATTTATATATATAAGGAATTAAAACATACACATATACTACATATATATGTATATATATATATATATATATATATATATATATACATATACATATATACACATGTACATACACATGTACATACACATGTACATACACATGTACATACATACATATATACAGGGTGTCTTTAAAGTCGACCCGGGCTTTTTATCTTGGAAATGGCCTTAAACACAAAAAAATGTTTCAAACAAAAGTTGTGGGATTTTGAGGAGGACATAAGATCGATGCATTGATTTGACCTTGAATAGTCATTTGAAAGTCACGTGAAGGTCATCTTTAATTTTTTAAATAAAACTACCTATTTTTCATATATTCTTATAGGTTATTTCAAGAGCTTTCCAAAACACTATAACAAAACATTTTTTTATTAAGTACTTTTTGATTTATAAAGGTTTGAAGTTAATAATCTTCTGACATAAAATATAAAATATCTTGTAAAATATTTAGTTTTTGGTAATCATACCTTAATACTGTTTTGCGGAATAATGAGACAAATCAATTGATTTAAAAAAACCCATAGTTGCTTATAAAAAAGTATACAGCTGCATATTGAGTATTACATTTTTTTTTTTAACAATTATCTGTTTTTTTTTATACCAATTGATTAATCTCATTATACTGTGTAGAAAAGTATTAAGGTATCATTACCGAAAACTGAATATTTTACAAGATATTTTACATTTTATGTCAAAAAATTGTTAGCTTCAAACCTTTATAACTCAAAAAGTACTCTATGAAAAAATACTTTATTATAAGGTTTTAGAAAGCTCTTGAGATAGTTCACAAAATATGCAATAAAAAATATGTAGTTTTATTTAAGAAATTGAAGGTGACTATACGTAATCTTCAAATGACTATTCAAGGTCAAATCACATAATCGTATAATCTTATGTCACCCTCGAAGCCCTACAACTTATGTTTGAAACGGAATATATGAATACATATATATATATAGGGTGCCTCTAAAATTTGATCCGGGCTCTTTATCTTGGAAACTGCTTTAAATATAAAAAAGTTTCAGATATATATATATATATATATATATATATATATTGTTACGTCCCTGGTTTACATCCCCTGAGCACCTTCATCCCTTTTCATCTCCTAGGAGGGTTGTTTATAGACAACCGGCGTTCAAATGTTTTGGGGCGTCATGATTAGATTTGGTTCAGCTGTCGCACCGAGCGGACGCTTACGAGACCGATGGGCATTTTGGCCTATTATATATTGTATTTCTTTGCTTTATTGTATTGGGTCGTTTCATTAAAACTCCTTTCCTCATTACGAGAATTTATTCATTCCGGACGCGAGTGAGAGTGTGAGTGACATCTTTTTGTGAGACAGCGCAAGAGACGTCGCGAGGACGTAACAATATATATATTTGAATATAATGATAATATATATATATGTATATATATATATATATATATATATATATATAGGGTATATATATATATATAAATGATATATATATATAGGGTGCCTCTAAAATCTGATCCGAGCTCTTTATCTTGGAATTGTATGTACTCGTACATACAAGATCCGATTTTAAGTGCAATCGCACGATCCTGAAATGTAAGGATTATACTTCGATCGCGACATTTTACAGAAGATAGGTATGAAAAGAATTAATAAAAATCAGGCAGCGATATTATGCGCGACAAACTTGTTTGTCTCTTACTTCATTTACGATATATAATACTCTTCTTCATTTACGAGTTTATTATGTAAAGAAATACATACTTTAATTATTTTATATCTGATTTAATTTTCTTTCTATAGTTTTATTATAAAGAAAATTATTAAAACTATCAAAAAGTACTCTTTTATTTTTTATCTTAAAATTATACATTAATTATATACATACATTAGTAACAAAAATTATTGCAACACGTAATTAATATCAAAATTTTGCGTAAATTCAAAAAGGCGCATCTCCGCGAAAAATTATCGTATTTAAAAAAAAATTTGTTTTTGTTTTAAAGGATGAAGTCTCTACTTTAAACAATATACTAATTAAATGCTCTTTAATTCAAATAAAGTATTGATAGCTTATATTTTGAATCTGAATTATTATATTGATAAGTATAGTGTATCGGTTTTATGTCACGAATGTTTAGTTTTTTCTGTAGTAAGAAATTAAATTTTTTATTGTATCTTTCATATTCTTTTAAAAAATGAGTATATAGCGGACCACTTTGTCTATTAAAAAATTCGTTGCAAACGTGAATCGGAATGTTATTATAAAGATCTATTGAGAGTCTATAAATTTGATTTTTTTATTTTTAATAACGTTATCTACCGCCAAACCTTTGAAACGCCCATGGGTTCTCTTCTCTCACCAGTGATTGCAGATCTAGTTTTACAAGATCTTGAGAATAAATCATTACGATTGTTAAAATTCACACCCCCGATTTACTTTAGATATGTTGACGACATTGTATTGACTGTTCCATTGACTTTAATTGACCACACACTTATGATTTTTAATTCTTATCATAATAGACTCCAATTCACTCTGGAAACTGACGATAATAATAAAATAAACTTTTTAGATTTGACATCAATTTTAGAAAACAACAAGATAATTACTGATTGGTATCACAAGCCGACATTCTCGGGGAGATATTTACATTTCTTGTCTCAGCATCCATTTTGTCAAAAGCGGGGAACTATATACGGTCTAGTAGATAGAACAATTTTATTGTCACATCCACGATTTCATTATACGAGTAAGAATCTCGTTACCGTTGTCAACATACTTTTAGAAAACTGTTATCCGCTTGACTTGATCTTTAATACTATTAACCAACGTCTAGTAATTTTATTCAAAAAATTAAAAAATACCACAATTAACGGTAACAATAATAATAATAATAATAGTGAAAAAACGTCTTTTTTCACTATACCATTTTTACCCGGTTTGACGGAACAATTTAGAAATATTATTAGGAACATGAATATTAAATTATCCTTCTTTAGTTTTAATAAATTAAATAAATATATACGAGTACATAAAGATACTATTTCTAAAATGAATAATACCAACGTTGTTTACAAAATTAATTGTTCAAACTGCGACGCTTCTTACGTGGGCCAGACTAGTAGAAGACTGACCACAAGAATTTCTGAACATAAGAAACACATAGTTAGAAATATTAATACTAAATCAGTAATAACGGACTACCGCGTTAATTTTAACCATAAATTTGATTGGGAGAACATTAATATTTTAGATAAAGAAATATATTACGGAAAAAGATCAGTATCAGAAATGATATACATAAAAAGACAAAATAATAGTCTCAATCTACAGACTGATACTGAAAATCTATCTGATATTTATATCGAAGATATAGAGAGACTACCTAAACTCTAAGGTTAAATAACAAATACAAAATGATTATAATTGTTTGTCACTTTTCATTTCCAACTGAGCTTCAGTTTCCTCTGAGCCGTTCTACTGACATGAGGATTACATTAGCGTCACTTTGTTACTGTTACAATTAAAATATTGTCACATCATAAATATATGTAAGTTTTTATTAGCATTTTTTTTTATACCATGTGTTAGATTATTGTTTTATAACGCACTTGATTTTGGATCTTATAATTAGTGAGGTGTAATGAGAAAATTATTTTAATTTATAGGATGCGATTAATATTTTATATTTTAACACCTGCCAACCTCGTAGTCAGAAAACTAGAAAGGATCGCTTCCCACAGTAACGTAAATGTGATGGCTCAGTGAGAGTCATATTAATGTTACTCTTACGACGTTTTATTTCGTTTACTGATGTAACCGCGTTTAAATATGTTTATTAGACGTTTATACGTTAAAAACATTTAGACTTTGGTGATTTTAATTTTGCTTTTTGTACTGCGCTGAAGAAGATCCGAAAAATTGGATCGAAACGTTCGCTGTCTCATTTGTTTTAACTTTCGAGTTTATTTTTATAATTTTAGATTAATTTAAACTTTATTGTTTATATCAGTACATATTGATTAAATGTAATAAATTAGTTTTTATAACCGTAATATTACTTCTGCTCTTATTAGCCTTTTATATGTGTAATTCTCTACTTAAAGAAACTTTTATTTGATTTTGCTTTTATTCTCTCCCCCTCTCTCCACTCTTTTAAAAAGTAAGGTTCATTTTTTTATCAAAAATATTGCAAAATTTGCCGGACTTTTTTCTACATATTAAAAATTAAACAAAGTTTGTACGATTTTTTTCGCGGAGTTACGGCATATCAAAGTTACCCATACATTTTTTCCATTTACTACCAGTATTAGCGATACCCGACGCGCACCAATGATGATTGCGCGACAAATTGCTAATGAAGATCTTCCTCACAGAATCAGTGATCAAACAATTAGAAGACGTTTACGTGAACGTCGTTTAAGATCGTGAGTTCGACAATTTCCTCTTCTAATGTATGAAAAAAATGTATAATCCATACATTTGGAAAGAAAAATGTTGAACTTGCGATCTTAAACCATGTTCACGTAAACGTCTTCTAATTGTTTGATCACTGATTCTGTGAGAAAGATCTTCCTTAGCAATTTGTCGCGCATTCATCATTGGTGTGCGTCGGGTATCGTTAATGCTGGTGGTAAATAGAAAAAATGTATGGGTAGCTTTGATATGCCGTAACTCCGCGAAAAAAATCGTACAAATTTTGTTTAATTTTTAATTTGTAGGAATAAGCCCACATTTTATGAAAATTTGGATAAGATTTCCGAAAAAAATTTATTTCATCCCGTAGAGTTCGGCAAATTTTGCAATATTTTTGATAAAAAAATAAACCTTACTTTTTAAAGAAGTGGAGAGAGGGGAAGAGGATAAAAGCAAAATCAAATAAAAGTTTTTTAAAGTAGAGACTTCATCCTTTAAAACAAAAACAAATTTTTTTTCAAATACGATCATTTTTTGCGGAGATGCGCTTCTTTGAATTTACGCGAAATTTTGATATTAATTACGTGTTGCGATAATTTTTTTGACCAGTTTACATAAATACATATATAAAGATTTTTTCAGAATATTATTATACCAAATATTATTATATATAATCAGAATATTATTATATCGAATTAAGATGATTTATAGAAACGTTAATTCATAACAGAGCATTAAATATTTTTTGTGCAACTGGCGCGCGAAAAGTCCTTTACGGTCGCCCTTTACGCACATGATGGGTTTTTAGAAAGGGCTCCCTTTCCATGCATCGGTCACACAAAATATCGTAGCCAACATGTGTGGGTCATAAATCGGCCGATCATGCGGATTGTCACACTCGGCTTCGCCTCGTGCGCCAAACTTGCGCACTCTCGGCCGATTTACGATCCCCCACACTTGTTAGCTAATATACTATAAAACTTAATACACAACAAAAATACCGACATAAAAGGCTGTAAGGGCTAAGTGCAGTAAATAAAGCGCGAAATATATGTATAATTATCATTAAATAAAAATAAATAATAAGTAATATTAAACAATAAATATTTTAAATCCTTCTCTCTCTTTAGCTTTTTTCACCCAAATATTAAATTGTACATTTATATAATATAATCTCATTTTAAAATATAATTTTAGCATATCTTACATAATAAATAAATAATTTCTATATTCTTTTCTAATTATCTTAATATAAAATATTTAAAAAAAATTACAAAGCATGTAAAGAAAAATAAAAATAGTAAAATTTTTGTGTAAAATAATTAGAGTAGAATATAGAGACAAGTTAATCGTGTTTAATATATGCACTCGCTTCTTATTAGTCATTTTCACATCCAATTTTGTATTTGTATATTAGAACTTTCTTAATTTATTATTATAATTTGTAGAAGAATTATTACTTACTAAATTTAACTGCTCAGGATCGTGACCGAGGTAATTAAATAATAAATTATTGACGCACAACTCCGCTTGATAAAAATTCAGGTTGCAGCCCATTAACGTCTTTAGAATGTTATAAACATTTTGCGGGAATATTTCGCCATGGAACAAAGCTCGCAATATTGGCTGGAATAAACAATCTTATTATTTCATGATGATAATTTACTTGTAAAATTTTCTCGTTCAATTTATTAATGTATTTTTAACATAAAAATAAAATTTTTTTCAGAATATTATTCTACGAATTACGATTATTTATAGAAGCGTTAATTCATAACAGAGCATTAAATATTTTTAAAACTTAATATACAACAAAAATACCGACATAAAAGGCTGTAAGGGCTAAGTGCAGTAAATAGAGCGCGATCTAATATATTGAAAATAATTTAATTCAAATTAATGTAAATATATATATAACTAGCGGACGTTTTAATCCCTTTTTGGATCATCTTCAACGCTTAAAATAAAAGTTATAACGCAAAAATATTTACATAGTTCACAATAATTCTAAAAAATCAACATATAATAAGAGAGGAATGGAGTGTAGATCGTGTTTATATAATAAGAGAGTACAACCGTCACGCATTATGATATCCGCATCAAATTCTCCATCATCGTACAAAGTACATATTGCGCATTTTGTCTCACGTCGTCGACAAAAGCAGCAACAACCCCGTCACTAGTACAAACGCATCTAAAACGAATGCAACCGTCCAGTTTGCAAGTTGGGAAGTATGCATCCCAAAGAGTATCAGCGCTATTAACAATAGAAACTCATGAATGACAATAATGCTCAAACACAAAAAATATAAGATGGAGTGAGAATCATACATACCAATGCTCGCAATGCAACAACACATAAAAGCAGGGATTGAAATCGATAATTAGTTTTTTTTTTTGAAGAAAAATCATGTCATGACTTTGATTTTTATTTTCCATTTTTTTAAATTATTTCTTGATTTTCATCAAAATACAACTTTTTTTCTTAATCAATCTCTTAAAAATCACACCGTGAAAGTTCTTTTTGAGAGAAAAAAATCACTCAAAAATAAACGTTATTCTTTAAGCAAAAAATATTCCTCTTAAAAATAAAATTCAGCCCAATAAATGACAATTAGTCATTTGGATTATTTCCAAATAAAATCTCAGTCAAGTCTTATATTTACTGAAAACGTTGATTGTACAATCGATTTAAGAAAACATGAGAGAAATACTGAAGAAATGATGATTATAAAAGTTTTTTTATTTGAAAAATCTATTAAGAATAATGTAACTTTAATTCTACAAAGCATAATGAACATCAAATAATACATACATTGGATCACAGCTATATTACTTAAAAGATGTAAAAAACTGTGAAGTCACTAGATAATTAAAAAATGGTAGTAATTTAATCGATCAACTCTGGCAAATAAGTGCTCTTTATTAAATATTCACAACGTTTCGACCATGGGTTTCGGCCCTTATCAAGTGCTATAATATATAATAATGACAATTATTAGAAAATTAAAAAAGTAATAATGTAACTATAATAAAACAATAAATATTTTCACACATTAATATGTAAACCTACCTAAAACACAACTTTTTTAAAAAATCTTAATTTTTTATCTTAAAATGTGACAAGATATAATACAATGATAATGTGAAACAATTAACTGTATTATTGTGTCGGTTTCCAGCTCTTTATATAGTCATTATTTTGATCAAACTAAACGACCTTTATTAGTTTTTCGTAAACAATATTTAGATTATCCGTGTCTTTTTGTAAATTGATTGTGTTGTCAAATTTTTTGATAAAAAACATCTCCGCGATTTCTCGTTTTCGTACATATTTCTCATGATGTAAAATTTCTGGAGCGGACCAATCAAAATCATGACCATTATCTAATTTATGATTACTGATGACTGAATAATTACTATTGTGTACCTTAATATTATTAAAATGTTCTTTTATACGTGTGCCTAATTGTCGTTTAGTCTGACCAATGTATGATGAGGAACAATTTGCGCAGTTAATTTTGTATACTACTCTTGTTTTTTCTTTTAAAGGTAAAGGATCTTTGACGCGTTTATTTAGTGTATTCAATTTTTTCGGTATACAATAAACGCTTTGCATGCTCATAGATTGTAATAATCTCGAAACATCTTCACTTAGTTCTTTGACGTTCGGTAATTTATGATGCGGTCAAATTTTTCACTAACTAAATTATCGTTGTCAACATTGCGATCGTCATTATTTTGTGTCTTAAGCAATTTTAGCCTGTTTTTTACAAACAAACAATAGTAATTATTCAATCATCAGTAATTATAAATTGGATAATGGTCATGATTTTGATTGGTCCGCTCCAGAAATTTTACATCATGAGAAATTAAACGAAAACGAGAAATCGCGGAGATGTTTTTTATCAAAAAATTTGACAACACAATCAATTTACAAAAAGACACGGATAATCTAAATATTGTTTACGAAAAACTAATAAAGGTCGTTTAGTTTGATCAAAATAATGACTATATAAAGAGCTGGAAACCGACACAATAATATAGTTAATTGTTTCACATTATCATTGTATTATATCTTGTCACATTTTAAGATAAAAAATTAAGGTTTTTTAAAAAAGTTGTGTTTTAGATAGATTTACATATTAATGTGTAAAAATATTTATTGTTTTATTATAGTTACATTATTACTTTTTAATTTTTTAATTTTCTAATAATTGTCATTATTATATATTATAGCACTTGATAAGGGCCGAAACCCATGGCCGAAACGATGAGGACAACCCATGTGAATATTTAATAAAGAACACTTATTTGCCAGAATTGGTCGATTAAATTACTACCATTTTTTATATTACTTAAAAATATAAGTTTTTATATTACTATAAAAATATAAGTTTATAACAAAAACATACTTGCTCTCTGTAATTGACGTAGGTAACTCATAAAAATAAAATTCAACATCTTGCTACTTAAAAGTCTATAAATTGAAACTGATATCAAGAAATATAATTGAAAATTAAGTCACTAGGTCAGTATTGAAAAAAAACATTTTTTGAGAAAAACCGTTTTCTTAAAAATAAGTAGGCACCTAGTAATGAAGGTGTTATATAGACAAGTAATTGTTCAGAATTTATTTTTAGTTTAAATTAATTGAGTTTTCTTCTGCATACAAAAATAGACTACCCCTGTATGATTACTAAAAAACAAACTTTGAAAAAATAATTACCTAAGTTACTAAATAAATAAGCTTAAGAAGAATTTAATTTCAAAATATGCTCTAATCTGCTCTAAATGAGTAGGAGATAGTCTATATCGAAAATCATTCAATATAAACTTGATAGCAGAAAAGGCTCTTTCAACCGTTAGCTGGTTGCAGGTACGGCGTGTATGATTAATACTATTTCAAAAAAATACGGCCATTTATACTTCAAATTTGACCAATGAAGAAATATATCTGCCGTCAAATCAATTCGCTTATTTTTGTATTGTTCGATTTCTTTAATTGCCGCACCAAGAGCGGTTCCTGGATTGCGGTCTTCATCCAAATCGTCTGATTCTCGTTGTGATTCAGGAACTTGTTCAACAGGGAGTCATTCGATTCTTCATCTATTCTTACCACAGGTGACGAAGCTTCTGGCTGTGAAAATGTCGAAAGATGTTCTTCTGTTTGTATCGCAGCAGAGCCTACATAGCTCTTGACACTTATCATTTGAGAAGCTAACGTTTTTAAAAAATTTTTTATTTCTTCAATTTTTTTTTGGGAATAGCCTCTTAATTCTCGGATCTAAATATATATCATCTAAATATATCACCGCCAAAACAACAAAGTTATCCAGAAGAGATTTTTCTCTCTCATTTATAAAAGTCAGGAGTCGTTTCGCAGGTTCGTTTCTTATCTCTTCAATTGTCAACCGAAGCTCCTACCATATTTTAACAAAATCTCCGAGAGACATTTGCTATTACTGTAATTGCAACGTGGCCGTTTTTGGTGATTGCAAGATCTTTACAATGAGAGGCACTTGTGTTACAAATCCTTCGTTGATCTCGAAATGTTCAGCTCAGTATGGGCGTAACTTTAAGAATGAAGTAGCATGTCGGTAGTGGTGTTCCAGCAAGTCGGGATGTCAATGACAGGCCTTTTCAAATTTAATGCTGCAATGCCGAAGCGATGGATAGGAGTCCTCAGATTTTTCATGTTATCTCGCACTTTCTTCACTATATAATCGGTCTCTGAGTTGTTGAGAAAACTATAAACTGCCAGTTGCAAGGTATGAGCAGCACAGCGCACAGACTGCACTGTACCCGACTTCAACTTAATAATGGCATCTTCTAAAAAATCCTTCTCTTCTTCAGAGTTTTCACTTTCACCGTTCCGGAGAATTTCGTTAGCCTTAATCATATTTTGGCTATTATCGGACGTGATAGTAAATATCTGGTTAACACTTATGTCAAATCTATTAAGAATTTTCTCAATTTCACAGCGTAGATTTTTCGCAGTCAATCTCCGGTTATAGTGACCACTCCTAGGATAAAGATTTGGATTTTTTTAGACTTAGACCCAACTATTTGCGTGTTGACACAGCTGTCGGTCATGACGCATAGCTGCATCAATTTTTAGGGATAAAACCCTATTTGAAAAAATTCTAGTGATTCTTTTGATCATTGACTCGTATTTTTGTTCGATTAATGGCAAAAACGAGTGAGAATTGATCATAGTCATTTTTAAGCCGTTAAAAATTGGTTTAGAAAAGGTTCTAAAAGCAGAAGAATCAAGAAAGGTAAGGGGTCGACCCTCAACCGTTATAAAAGCTATACAGGCATCTGTAACTTCTTCTTCACTCAACTCAATTACAATTTTCCTTTTCTTGGTGTAAGTGACAGGATTGTCACCAAGTTCAGACTCTTCCATGAGTTTGTGGAAAAAAGTTGAATGCTCTTTGTTAAGATGACGCTGAAGATTTGTTAAATACGAGCCAGCAAGAGATTTATTATTATTCTAGCACTTGCTTTGTGTTCCGTCGAATTCGAAAGCTTCCCGAATAATGTCATTTTTTTTCTTCCCATATTGTTCAACAGAGAATTTTAATGCACACAACAGAGTCTTAACATACAGACGACGACACCACACTATCA